GACTTCCACCTGCATTGTAGGACAAGGGCACACTTAAATACATGCAGACACTACATTCATACACATTAAAAAAAAAAAAAGTAAAAAATAAAATTTAAAAATAAAATTTTTAAAAATTCTTAGTATAAGTGTTTCAACATCTGTTACAACAGTTCATCTTTGAGTAGTTTGGCAAAGGTGTGTGTGTGTGTACAAAAGCTAATGGTGAACAGGTATACAGGTGTTCATTTCAACTTTTCTACAGATTTGAAATCTTTCAAAATAATAAATTTTAACTTTTCCTTCTTTTTAATTTAAAAAACATAGCTTCAGTAGTTTTTCTACCTTGTCAGAGAGAGTTAAAAACATAGAATACAGCTGTTCTTCAATTTACCATAGTTATATCTTTTAAATTTTGATGACTCAAACACACACGAGATGGCTGAGGCCTTTTGTTCACCAGGGTATAAGAAATGCTGTACTTAAAGGCAATTTGTCTTTTTAATTTCTATTTGTGATGGCTGCTATATTCCAATATGTAATTTTCCAACTGGAACTATCCTGCTCCAATGTTTCCATTACAAACTATAGTCCCCAAATAACAGAATGTTTATCAATTTTTTTACTTGAAAACCAGGAAAGATATACAACATACTGGTCTAAATTCATCACCAAAATAAGTTAGACAAAATTTAATATGATCAGGATGTGGTAGTGCACACTGTTAGTCCCAGCACTCAGGCGGCAAAGGCAGGTGGATTTCTGCAAAATTGAAGCCAGCCTGGTCTACATAGCGAGTACCAGGGTAGGTGGGGCTACAGGGAGATCCTGTCTCAAAAAGACCAAAAATAAATAAATTTAATACAAATAAAAAGTGCCACATTTAATTAATGGATTTAGCACAAGCCAAGATCTAGTAGAGAGACTGGGGCAAATAGCAGTATTAAATTTGCAAAAAAATACAACTCTAGATTTCTTACTGAAGAGCTAAAAATAATTCATATTCAAAGAGGATAAGAGGGAGCTGATGAGATGGCTCAACAGTTAGGAGCACTTCCTGCTCTTCCAGGTGATCCAAGTTCAGTTTCCAGCAACCATATCAGGTAGCTCACAACTGCCTGTAACTCCAGTGCCAGGGGAACTGACACCTTCTACTGCCCTACACTGGCACAGTGTAATCACATGCACAAACTCAGTCTCACATACACATACATAAATACATAACTAAAAATAAAATAATAAAATCTTAAAAAAAAGATAAGACAAAGAGTGTGCTTATTGACAAAAAGTATAATGGTGGGATATAGTATAGTATAATAGTATAATAGAGAAATATGATAGAAATAAAATGTTCTAAAAAGATGTGTAGTATAAGTCAAGCAAAGTGGCAACATCTTGTTATTTCATTTCTCAGGAGGGGAAGCAGGAGGATCTTAAGTTCAAGGCCAGTCTGGTTCACAGAATGATTGGGGCCAGCCTGAGCTACATAATGAGAACCTAAGAAAGCAAGCAAGAATGAATGGGAGGTGGGGAGAAGAAGGGAGGGAGGAAGACAAGACAAGACAAGACAAGACAAGACATGTTAGGACAGGCACAGCAGCAATATTCCTTTTGCAGAGACTAAAGTTGCAATGAAAATTTCAAAGTTCCTGTAGCAGTTCAGGCAATCCTAAGACAGGCACAGCAAACCATAGGTCAAACCTAGACACCATCTATCTATAAGCTTGTGAGCTAAGACTAGTTATTTATTTTTTAACAAGTGGATATTTGTATCAGCTTGATAGCAAAACACACTAACTTCTAAGTCCAACTGAGGAAAATATCATTTCTTCAGAATTCTATTTCTCTCATTAGTAGACCTAAATTACTAAATAATGCAATTATTATTTGTGGAATCTGTTCTTTTGTCTTCTAAGTATCTACTGCCTTTTGGCCTAAACAAATCTAAATATTTACCAGCAGGGACACTACAGAAAAAGTTTACCAACTCCTGTTCTCTTAAATAAAACTCTATGAAATAGATCAACTGGGAGTAGCAGACAATCAAGAAAAGAAGGATGTAAGCCAATCAGAACAACATATGATACCAACTCAGCAAGAATGGGCTGTTGGCTAACTAATGTTTGTGCACTAAAGTAAAACTGAGCAAGGCCTGGCAATTAGATGTACACAGGGAATCAAATTATGTTTTTTAAAAACAGTACATTTATTGGATTATTCTGAAAAGTCTCCTTTTAATTTTACTTTTTTTTTTTTTTTTTTTTTGTCTTTTTGAGACAGGGTTTCCTTGAAGCCCCTCAGCTGTCCTGGAATTCACCAGGTAGACCAGGCTGGCCTCGAACTCACAAAGATCCGCCTGCCTCTGCCTCCCAAGTGCTGGAATTAAAGGTGTGTGCCACCACACCTGGCCCCCTTTATTTTGCTTTTTTAAGATTTATTTTGTTGGGGCTGAAGTGATGGCTCAGTGGTTAAGCGCACTGGCTACTCTTGCAAAGGACCCAGGTTTGATTCCCAGCACCCACATGGCAGATAACAACTGTCTGTAACTCCAATTCAGAGGACCTGACACCCTCTTCTGACCTCCACAGGCATTACACAACACAGGTGTACTTACTACATGCAGGCAATACTCATGCATAAAGCATGAAAATAATGGGGCTGGAGAGATAGCTCAGTAGTTTAGAGCACTGGCTGCTCTTGCAGAGGACCCAGGTTCAATTCCCAGCACCCACATGGCAGATAACAACTGTCTGTAACTCCAATTCCAGAGGACCTGACACCCTCTTCTGACCTCTGTGGGTACTGAACAACAAGGGTACACTTACATGCAGGCAATACACTCATACACATAAAATAAAAATAATATTTTTAAAATAAATATATATTTTTAAAAGATGTTGTGTGTATGACTGTTTTGCCTGCTTGTATGTATGTGCAATGTCTGATGCCCACAGAGGCCAGAAGGTACTGCATCCCCTGGAACTGGAGTTTAGAATGATTGTTTTGAGTTGTCATGTTGATGCTGGAACAGAGCCTAGCTCTTGGGCAAGAGAAGCAAGTGCTCTTAACTGCCATCTCTGAAGCCCCTCCCATTTTACTTTTAAGACACTAGATACAGAGCCTCAATCTAAGGAGCTGTTTACAGACAGGAACATTTTGAAAGTAGATGGATCCTAACAGAATCACTTAGATAAAACTAAAGCTAGGAGTAAAGAAAAAAAATGTTTAAGTGGGCTTATTTGGGTAAGGTCTCAACATGTACAGTGTATCATAGGATCTTATTTATATGGTGAATTATTGACATATGACACAAGGGTCTTATGATCTGTCTAGAAAACATAAATCTAACTCAAAATATAACATGAAAGACAAGAGGCAAAAAGGGATTCTAAGAAATTGAAATGTCACTAAGCTGATGCACTTGACTAACAAAAGAGTTCTTTAGTCCTCAGTTGAAGCCTCGAAGTTGTACACAATTCTATTAAGTATAGAGGCCTGGTTTTCAAGCTCACAGCAAATTAGAAGCCCCCAAGTAAGCCTGGAAGAAAAGAAAAATAGGCGGAACAAACAGAAAGCTGCCAAGAACACTAAGAGGCTAGCAGTACAGCATGCTAGTGCAGGAGCCAGCAGTCCCAAACATGTCAGTAGTAGCACACCATTCTTTTAAAACAAATTTCAGCACCACTACTCATTTTAATCATCTCAAGACAAAAATCAAGTAATATAAAACTGCATTCCATACACTCTGCTTAGTAAATCAGAGACCATGGCATTTCAAAGTGGTTTGAGTTGGTAATGAAAATGGACAAACAAGTAAAAATTAAGATGTAGCAATAAGTTTAACTGTGAATTTACTAATTTACTCAATACAGTACTATGTTTTTTGTTGGGTGTGGTGGCACATACTCTTGTAATCCCAGCACTTGAGAGGTAAAGGCAGGATGATTAGGAGCTCAAAGTTATCCTTGGCTACACACTAAGGCTGACACCAGCTTGGGTTTCAGGACACTGTCTCAGAAAATAAAACAAACACTGCATGGGGAGATGGTACAGCAGGTTAAGGCACTTGCTTCCAAGCCCAAAGACCTGAGTTGAATCCTCAAAACCCACAGGGTGAAAAGACATAACCCAGTACCTCGGAGCTATCCTCTGACTTCCACATGAAAGGATGACACATGTGTCACGCCTCCCCCAATAAATAAATGTAATTAAAAAAATAGTTTCAAATAAAACGATATTTACCGTTTTCCTAAAGGTAAAAAAATACATACTTATGCAATAAGACAAGTCCAAACATTTCTGAATCATTGCTCATAAATTAGGATCAAAATAAGAATTATAAGGAATAAATACTGGTGGCATAGGGCAAAAGATAAGACCATTTTAAACAGTTTTATTTGCTAACAAAGTATAAAGAAGTTATCAAGCCTGCTATCTGGCTGCTTGTTAAGAAAAGGCCAGTACCCTCGAGCGTCGATTTTCGTGGTTTTTGTGCAGAGTGGAAAATGACCAGCTGTAGGGGTCAACACCATGCCTCTGATACCCCAACACCCGACGTTAAAGTAAAAAAGGCCATTTGGGTTTCCTAATTCCCGCCAAATTCAAAAGAGTAGTAAGTCGAAGGCGGAGAAGAAAAAGCAGCTCTCAAGCACTAAAGAACACCTGTAGCAGGACTCATGGAGGGGGCCTCAAGGCACCTGCAGACACTCTCCCTAATGGCGATGCTGCTGTGACCACTGACATCGGTTTCAAGCAGCCCTTGAAAGCTTCCTTTTCCCAAGCTCCTGCTCCCTATGTGTTTCGCCAGAGCCTGGAACCCCAGATTACGACTGTCTGCTATTTCCAAGTAAACATCATTTATTGCCAAGTCTGTCTCCGAGCTGCTCTGGGAGCTGCTGGGGATCCTGGCAGGCGCACCTCGGCTCCCGCGGCCCATGCCGACGCCTCTGCGGCCATCGGGAATCAGGTCTCGGCGGTGGACACGCGGAAGCGAGCCGGGCCTCCCACCGACGCCAGCTCACCTGCTTCCCGGTGTTCTGTGGCCCAAAAGCGGCTCCCGCTCGGACTCGCTCCCATGACTCGCCATAGTGATGGTCCCCACGAGGTGGCGCGCTGCCAACTCTCGCGACACCTGCTCCCTCCTTACCTCAGTCTAAGCTGTCAAACCAGACCCGCTAGAGAGTACGCGTGCGCGCCTGGCGGCCGGAAGTACATAGACGTCAGCGGTGCCTGAGGCAGGGCCGCACGGGAGGCGGGGCGGGGAGGGATGGAAGGGGCAGGACGAGGGCGGAGCCTGAATCCCCCGCCTCTTCGCAGCTGCTGGGGGCGGGCACCCAGGGCTGGGGGCGTGGTTCGGCGTCCCCCGCCCCAGGCTTGTTTGCGCCTGCTATCTGGCTGCGGGCCTCTGGTGTTTGATTCTTGGAAAGGATCGGTTGTCTGCGGTCGGTGCTAGAGCCCAAGTCCGGTCCCAGGAGAAAGGAGAACGGCAGCACTGGGAAGCTCGGCCCGTTCCACCTCAGGTGTGCGTCCGCCCGGCAGCCAGTAAGTACCGAGCTGCGCCCTCGCGCCCCCGCTGCCTACGTGACGGGCGGCAAGGACCACAGGTCGTGGGACAAGGGAGGCTAGGTCCTAGGCGCGCTGCGGCCTGCCTGCAGAGTAAGGGAAGGCGGCTGTGACCCCTGGCTCTCCTGCCCGGCTGAGAACAAGGCTCAGGTGGCATCCAGCGCAACTCCCCTCCTGGGTCCCGGCTCACTGTGGGCCTCAGCTTTGAAAATGCTCCTTAGGAGCCTGTTCAGTAATAACCAGCTCCTTTCATCGCCAGGAAAAGGAATATTCACCAGACTGAGATGCTTTTTTCTTCCTAGTCACCACGTTATCATATCCCTGCCATTGGACTTGTAGGCTAATTGAGGTCGAGAAGTTACGAAGATGTACTTGGTGTGGATGAGGCAGAGTCGGGACCCATACTCAGTTCTCATTAGCTTTAGCTCTTACCTATGTCCTGCCTCATACTAGCTCTCTGCTGTGTGGTATTGCCATCACCTCTGATTTTTCCATCTCATGTATCCATAGTCCACTGGAGAAGAGCTAAACTTGAAATATGTTCTCTGTTCAGAATTCTCTTCTCAATTCATTCCTGCGTTTCATAGTTGAATTCTGTCTTGCAGGTCCTTTGTAAAACAAAAACATGCCTGAGTCCTGTGATTGGTTCCAAGAATATAAGTAGGTAGAAAACGAGGCATTTTTTGACCATGATACTGCTTCCTGTGCCTTTTCTAATACATGGAGACCTCGATTATGCATGGCACATATGTGTGTGTGTGTGTGTGTGTGTGTGTATGAAGAGAGAGCGAGAGAGAGAAAGGAACTAAGGAACTTTTAACTAGCATTACACTGAACAGAATGTGGTGTGTTTGTGGCCACACTGAAAGAATGCTTTTTAAGTTACCTCATTTTCTCACTAACAAAAATACTCTGAAGGGGAAGATTGTCTCAAATAGACAAAAGAAGAAAAAGGCATAGAAAGTAGGTGCATAACAGCTTGAATTCACGAAACAAAGGACTGCTGACTATAAAACCTCCAGGCTTCCTGTAAATAGAATACAAATAAAAATCTTTTCTCACTTCTATTAAAGATATCAGAATAAGCAGTCAACTTTTATGTAAATGAAATAATCTGTTGGTATATAATAAGTGTAATAAGTCAAGTATGTGTGTAATCTCCCATTAATAGATTGAAGTAGATCATTCAAGATCACACAGCTAGTGGAGAAACCTAGATCTTCTAACACAGAGGTTTTCCATTACTGCCTCCAAGTGATGACTTCACACCACAGAAAACAGACAGTGAGTACATGCATAACTCCTGAAATTCAAATAAGCTCTATATATTTCTCAGGAACATATCCCAATTAGCATTCAAACAAAGCAAATAAATATTCAAGGGGGAAAAACTTTTTTTAAATAGTCCATCAAAAAGAGAATCAAAATTTGAAGAGATTAGATGACTTCCTGAAAGTTTGACCCTAGAATATAAGACAATCTACTTTTTTCTTTCTGGTGGTGCTAGGGTTTGACTAGACTAAGGCCTTACATATGCTATGCAGGAAGATGAACATGAGTTGTATACTCAGGCCCTTGGGGGTTTTCTTACATTGCAGTTCAAAGAAATAAACTGTTTTCTTCCTCATCTTCAGTGTTAGAGTAAAAGGAGTTGTTGCCCAAGACTATATTTTAACAGTGGCTATTTGAAGTTCTAAACCCTCCCTTAGCTGCTTAAACTTTGCAAGGAAGTGATTTAAATGTGTGAAATAGAAGGCTGGAGAGATTAAGTGGTTAAGAGCTCTGGCTGCTCTTTCAGGGGACCCGAGTTCGATTCCCAGCACCCACATGGCAGCTAACAACCTACCCTAACTGCAATTCCACGGGACTCCAACACCACTTTCTGATCTCCTCAGGCAGTACATGACATGGGTGCACTTACACACATTGAGGCAATATACTCATACACTAAAATAAAAAATAATAAGTAAAATATTTTTTTAAATGTGTGAAATAAAAATTAGGTCTTTTGGGGAGTTCTTGTATATGGGGGATTTTTAAAAAATATATTTTAACACATATTTTATGTGCATGTGTGTATGTATGCCATAGAGCATCTGTGGAAGTCAGAGGACAGCTTGCAAGAATGACTTCCCTCCTTTATTGTGGCATTCTTTGAAATTCTACTTACACCTTTGAGATATATATACATAACTGATAAAAGTCTAGAAAAAGGGGCTGGAGACCTAGGTTTGGTTCCCAGCATCCATGGCAGCTAACAACCATTCCTAACCATTCCAGGTCTGGGAGATCTGCCACCCTCTTCTGGGCTCATACACTTGCGTACACTTGCATACATGCAGGCAAAACTCATAATTTTTTTTTTAATCTTCAAAAAGTCTAGGATAAAAGTAGTGTTTAAATACTTAGATAACAGAGTAATAGGAAATAAAAGTATTAGACGGCATAATATTAATAGCTCCTGAGTGTCACTTTAGCAATAAAACTCATTTCTAGGAAAGGCATTTCATTCCTTGGCACTATGCTCGAACTTCTATTTTGGTTCCACTTTGTTTTTCCCTTTCACGTTGGCTATTTAAAAACAGATGGCAGTTGTGTCTGTTCAGCCTGGTACTTATTTCAAAAGTGGATACTGCCTCTGCAGGAGCTCACTGGTATCAGTCCAGCTTGACTTTTAGTACCTGCCGTAGCTCCAGATGGCACTTTCTTTTGGTAAGTTGAAATTGTCTTTACCTTCAGAGTAGAATATTTATGGCACTGGATAACCCTAAACATTGTTAGCCCTGCCTAGAGAGACCTGTTGTTGGGTGCTAGGTAAGAGCACTTGCTCAAAAATTGGAGAACCTGAGTTTATATCCCCAGTACTCATGTAAAAAACTGGTCATTGCCTCATGTGCCTATAACCCCAGCACTTTGGGGGAGGTAGAAGCCAGAGGCTTACTAGTGCTTGGTGGCTGCTAGCTTAGCTCTGGGTTCAGTGAGAGACCTAGCTTCAAGGGAGTAAGGCAAAGACTGATACAGCAGTGCCTTACTCTATAACCTCTCTGCTTCCACTAGTGTGCACCGCCCCCACACACAGACATACACACACCTCAAATGAGAAAGAAAGATCATTTAATCAGAAGAACCTGAATTTTGTACTGTTTGGGGGTTGAAATGAGATTTAAGATCTATATAATCCCAAATTTCAGAATCATATGCATAGTAAATTATATGCATGTTTGATTTGCTTTCTGTTCCACATTTGTGAGTTGCTTAGTAGCAGGTTTAAATATAGCAAGGAAATATGCTGGCTATTGGCTTGGAATGGCCTATGACACAGGAAAGCAAAGTGATTTGGGAAAGTTTTCAGGTGAAAGGTTGAAAAATAGAAACAACTAAATTTATGTATATAATATTGTTTGCTACAAAATATTTGAAAGTTCATTGTTCTTAGGTACTTAGATGCTTTTCCTGCAACTATGTATTTTTGTATGTTTGTCTTTAATTTCATCTAATACCAATCTAAAAGAAGATATAAAAGTAGAATAGGGGGCCAGTGAGATGACTCAGTGAGTAAAAGTGCTTGCTACCAAGACTGTCAACCTGTGTTCAATCCCTGGGACCCATATTGTAGAAGGAGAGAACTGACTCCCATAGGTTGGCCTCTGACTTCTGTCCACACATTGTGGCATGCATACACATAAATAAATGTCTTGTTTTAGTTTCTTAGTACTGTGATAAAAACACTGACCGAAACAAACTTGAGGAGGAAGGGGTTTATTTTTTATCTCCCAGGTCACAGTTCATCACTGAGAGAAATCAGGGTAGGAACTCAGAGCTGGAACCTGGAGGCAGGCACTGAAGCACAGATCATGGAGAGATGCTGCTTACTGGCTTGCTCCCCTGGCCCATGCTCAACCTACTTTCTTATATAGGACCACCGGCCCATAGTGGGCTGGACCCTCCCACATCACTCAACAACCAAGAAAATGCCCTACAGACATGGCCATAGGCCAGTCCAGTGGAGACCGTTCTTCAATTGAGGTTCCCTCTACCCAGGTGTATCAAGTTGACAACTGAAGCTATCCAGCACAATTTACCCTTTGTCAACTTGATACACAAACACATCACTTTGAACCACAACCTTTCCATTTCTTATCCCCAAGATCTCATGTTAATATTAATAATAAAGCATAAAACAATACAACTTCAAAAGTCCAACAGTCTTTAAAAAATCCAAACACTTTAAAAGTCAAAAGTCTCTTTTAAAAGTCTCTTAACTGTGGGCTCTTATAAAATCCAAAACAAGTTAAACGCTATCTTTTTATTTCAAAGAGGAAGAATTGGGCACGCTTACACATAACCAAGGTCCATCCAGTAAGGTAGCTCAAGATTGGACATCTAGGATTCACTCACAATCTTCTGGGCTCCAAAGGGCTTGGGCAGCTCCACTTCTCTGGCTTCTGTTGTACACAGCACACCCAGCTTATCTCTTAGGTTCAGGCCAACTCCACACCTACTACTGCCCTTGGTGGTTGTCCCATGGTCTTGGCATCTCCAATATGCTGGGGTCTCTCCTGAAACTGAGGCTGCACCTTCACCAATGGGCTCTCCGGCCTCTCTGTGCAAAGCCTCAGGTTGACTCCATGACCTCTTCATGCCTTCAAT